CTTAACGACATATGAATTAAGTGATCTTGGGCTCATTGGATTTGTCTTGTCGAGACGCTCGATTCGAGTATAAGTTTGCTAGTATAGACATCTGTTGGACCTTCCAAATGTGTCTGAAAATCTTTCAAGGGTGATTTAATGACTTGATTTGAGCTTGATTTGACTCGGATTGGACTAATTTTTATATCATTTGGTCTGTTTCATTGAGCCGACCAGTTTGACTATAAGTTTGCTGAAATCAGAGCTTTTGATGACTTTTTATCAAGATTTGAATGTTTTTTGCTTAAAATATCATCTCGAGATTCGTGTCATGCCTCGAGATTAGTGCCGGATGATGAAAACTTGTTGGCGGCGTATCACCATGTATATATTTTTTAATGTTAAACTCAAAAATTTTATAATTTTTCACTACAACTAAATTATAAAAGAAGAAAATAAAATCCTGTAGATATTATGACATTTCAACTCTAGAAGATGAATATATATGTAATTTTCTGTTAAAGCATGTAGTTTTTATGTTAATAGGAGAAAGTTAACTTGTCATGCATTTAGGTTGAAAAAGAATTAAATAAACAATTAATTATTTAATTCTTTTAATAATATAAAAGTCATTTGTAAAGTTATAGTTAATATTTTTTTTCTCAAAAAACAAAATTAATTATTTTAATAATTTAACAGTTGTAATATTTTAATTAATATAAAGATCATTATGTTGATTATATTATTTACAAATTTTATAGAGTAAAATTTGTCATTAAAATAAAATAAAAATGAACTTAAAGATTACATAAAAATTAAGCACACACACATAGGGCTGTCAAAACGGCTCGTTGTTCGCGAACAGCTCGTGTTTGGCTCGTTCGTTAAGTTAACGAGCCGAACACGAACAACAAAAATTTGTTTGGTCGTGTTCAGCTCGTTTTCGCTTGAAATACTACTTATATATATATATATATATATATATATATATATATAAACTTGATGAGTAGTATTTCGAGGACTACAAGGCTACAAAGATTTATAATCAATTAAAAGTATTAATTAAGAAAATAAAATAAAAACTATTAAATTAGATTCAAATGATGTTTTAATATAAACAATAATTTTTAAATCTTGTCCAAATCCTTAACATCTCGTGGCTACTTTATTAGGGTTGTAAAAACGTCTCTTTATTCGTGAACAGCTTGTGTTCGAAACGAGCCGAACACAAACACACTTTTTGTGCTCGAAATATCAACGAGCCGAACAAGAGCCATGATATTGTCTGGGCTCGCTCGTGTTCGGCTCGCTTACACCCCCAACACACACACATAATCTAAAAGCATTATTGAGCCAATTACTTAAAGCATATCAATTATTTGTTCAAAAATTAAATTAATTATTCTTATGATTTAATATTTGCAAAATTTTAATTAATATAAAAGTCATTTTAAAATTTATGATGATCATATTCATTAACAAAAAAAAAAAAACTAAATTACTTATTTTTATTATTTAACTGTTGTAATATTTTAATTAAACCCAAAAATATAATATAATAATTGTATGATTTTAATAAATATTAAATACATTTAATTTTAAATTTATTCATATTAAAATTTACCTCACTTACATAATTGAAATTTGTAGCATGAAAGTAGCGCAAATTTCAAACTCAAAATAAATGTAAACTTGCATCAAAATTCGTGGCCGATAAATAGTGTAAATTCCCAATAATAACTCTAATAAATGTAAACCTCATGAATGGTTGTGAAGAGATGTGAAGAGATGGTGTACAGGTGAACGATAAGTAACATCTCGTTTGGAATAAATTCATGATGAATGGAAGAGATTACAAGCATCAATTTTAAGGAAAATAAATGGCAAAGAATTATTATTGGAAGAATTACAAATGTCCATAAAAAATTATTATCATGTATGAATCTCAAAGTAGTTTGAGATAGAAGTAATTTCAAATGCGAATTCATGATCTTTCTAGCTCTGATTTCATCAAGCTTATAGTCAAGCCGACTGTCTTGTCAATGCGAGCCCAATGAAGTCATAATTGGTTTGATCTGAGTCCAACTTGATCTGAGTTCGATCAAACCCAGATCAAACCGTTTAAGCTAATTGGGGGCTTTGGATGGGCAAGTGAATAGTCATATGTATTTCAAATGTGACAAGTTTATTATTAAATTGAGCATCTCTTCATGCTGAATATACGGAGCATATAATCACTCAATTTTGGCATCATTAAGGCACTCAAATGCTCATAGAACAACATCTGATCAAATGGGTCATCTGAGTCGTTTGATGGAGTGGTATAGATTCTTGTGATATTTACAGAGGATGTCACTCTCAAGATCTATAAATAGATCCTCTCTAACTTCATGAAATGAGACTTTGGACTTTGACCTGGAAGAGAAAGCTAAAGGAGCTCCAAACACTTGAGGATTCCCGAGCTCCACTATTGTAGGAACACCGCCGACTAGCCATTGCCATTGTCATTGTCGGACCACAGTCGCCACTGCCTGACCATAGCTATCGAGCTGTCGTCGCTGCTGGACTACCGCTCGTCAACAACAGAGGCGTACAAGTGAGTTTTTGTACAACATAGCAGAGAACTCATAAGTAAATAGTAGATCGACCTCATAGTCTGGTTGGCTGACATAAAGTACAGACCCATGAAATCTTTTTTCTGGAAAAATCTGTAGAACAAAAGATTTTTCAATCATAAGACCGATGAAGAAGGTCTACATATTCTGATAGAGCAACCAAAAATCTCTAGGAAGAAGATATGGTCGGTCGTCATAGCTGGCCAAAACACATATACGATGGACGAGTGACATATATGGCTGGCCTCAAGGCTTTAGGCGATCGACCAAACACCACCGTTTATTATTCATTACCATGCAATTTGAATTCAATGGTGTAACACAATTATATAAACTACTCTTTCCTTACATATAATTATATTCTCTGGCCCTTATAAATAGGAGGTCATGACATCAATAAAGAAGTTGATTTTGGATTCTGACACCTGACTCTTTCTCTCTCCCTCTCTCACTTCTCTCCTTATAAGCTCTAAATCTCGGGGCATGTTTCAGAAGAAGACAATCCAGAATCCAACAAATATGGTAAGACAACTATTATTTTAGTTTATCGATGGCATAAAATTTTGACCATATGATTGCATTATGCTACTCCTTTCAAATTTGATCTTTTTTAGTTTATGGATGTTTTTTTTACCTAAAAAATAGAATAAACATGACAACTAAAAAGCTTATAAATTACACATTATTCTTTGATGAGTTATTTTAGTAGCACTACAAAATAGTAATCTTTATGTACACAACATCTTTCCCAGTGACCTAAAGTTGTGTTTCTATATTTTATTAAATATGAGAGAAGTTCATGAATTCTTATGCAAACATTTATCTTTTATAAAATTATGTAATGAATTACTCTTATTATCTATAAAGAGCATAATTACAAAAAAAAAAATTCTCATTCAAATGTCCTGAAAGTTGAATTGGGCTAAAATAAATGAGAATTCTTAAGTCTGTTATAAATAGGAGTTTGTATTATTTGGTCAAAATCAAAAAATTTAATGGAGTAGAGTTACTTTTATTGATTCTTTTAATTCTCAAAAATGCATGTTGGTTTTTTTATTTTAAACCCTCAATTTTAAGTTTCTGGTTATTAATTTGATTTTAATTTTCCTTTAATAGAACAGACAAAAAAATAAAAAAAAATCAAGATTAAATGAAGAATTCATGAAATTAAATCAATATTATACATATAATTTATTCAATATTGATGTTTATGCATTGTCAAACTCCAATTAACTACTACACTTTGGTTTGTTCATAATCAGACAGTTTAAACTGAATTAAATTTTAATTCAATTTTATAAAAATTATTTTAGTTTAATTTAATCAATTTGAAAATCAATCCATCTAAATCATAAAATGCTCATCCCTAGTTATTTTAAAACTAACTCATTTAAAAGTTTAGCAAATTTTATGTATCACTGTTATAATTAAATTGACAAGTGTTATGCCATATTCGCATTGAAGACTATAGAGTATATACAATACAATGTATATCACCAAATCCTTAATAAAAGATATTCTAAAAGTTACACCTAATCTTATAACATTATAGGGAACTTATTTATGTAAATCTATTATAAGAAAATGTAGATCCCCATGTTCATAAATTGACAAGAAGAAAATATTAAATGATTCAATTAGGTCCATTGCATTTGATGAAAATTTAATTCTTTCTACCCATTCATATAGTTTTATAAATGATGCATATTTGTTTATTTCTATTTATCAATTCAATTTTATAAATGATGTACACAAAATTATATTATGCTAGCTATTATGACTATGTTTTATTTTACAAAATTTATATGCTCCTATATTATAGCTTTGTGGTTGCACTCCATGCATTATGAAATTTTCATTTTGAATCATGTTTGAATATTTTTGGATGTACATTCCAATCATATATGAATCTTTTTCAATTAAGAGAATCATGTTATGACCCTATCAAAAAATGCATAGAAGTGTGATTTAACATATTTAATTTTATCACACCAAATAACAACTACATTTTAAAATTACACATGATACCTACTATGCTTTTCTCTTTAATTTGCTTCCAATAAGCACCTAATTCTTACACACGTGTCAACCAAGGTCTGGGCTCTCTCTTATGATGTGTTTGAGACAACTTGTGTGTTTCAGGATAAATCATTATTCTGAAATATGGCCCGCGGGTTGATCATAAAATTTGACCCGCAGCCTGCATTTAATATAAAATTGAAACTATATTTTTAGATAAACGGGTAAAACACAAGATCCAAAGGAGCTCTCAAAACTACCAATTTCAAACCAAACGAGCCTTACTCGGCCGTCTTCGAGGAGGGAGAACGGGTAAAATGACCGCGAAGAATCTACCCGCGAGTCCATCGCCGGCGAGCGCCTTTTGGGCGAGCAGACGCAGTCCGTTGAACAATCCCTTTCTTTTCTCCTAATCCCCTCCTTTTCAATTTCTGGAGTTGGTTGATTGTTGGCTTAATCAGAAGCAATCCCCAACCTCTCTATCTCTCTGCCTTTCTTCTTTCTCTTATTCCATTTATCTATTGGTGGTTGATTTCTTGTAAGGTGCTGCAGTTGGTGGATTGATTTCTCTTTCATGTTAAGAGGGAGAAGTCCTCACTCCTGAGGTTTACCGCTCTCGGGGGAAATGATTTTGATTCGGAGAAGGTTTGGGGCTTACTGCGGCGTCTTAGCGGCTCTATGGTTTTTCTTTGCATGGGTGCGGGAGGCTGCATCGCTGCGGCCGCTCAGGGATAGGGGACCTTCTGCTTCGACGTCATGGGGGGAGGAGGTATTGTGTTCTCTCTCTTTTTTGGTACCGTGTTGCTCTGTATTGAATTTCTAATTCAATTTTGGGTTTTTGGAGAATGGGGGCAGGAAATGTAGTTCTACTTGTTTTTATGGAATGCTTGTGGTGGGCTTTTTTTAATTTTTTTTTATTTTTGGAGAGGGTTTAGCTTGCTGCGATTATTTACTGAGTGGGTTTGTTGACTGATTGGACGATGAGGACTTGTCTAGTTCCAAAATGCTCGAGTTCGTTATATGCGGGTATGGGAATATGGAAAGCTTATGTAGTTAGAATTTCATGGTATTGAGGAAATGCTGGACCTAAAATGAGGAAAAAGGCAACCTTTTCAAGATGATTTCAAATAACTCTTTTACTTGTTACATAACTTTCTCTTCCTTCGTTGCATGTCATGCATTTGTAAGGTTGTCTCTTGATTCCACTGAAAAGTGAAATTTTTGTGTACAAATTCCTCTTGTGTGTTTGGTTGGGGGAAGGGGGTGTGGGCACTGTGTAATTCACAGTTAAAAGTTCTATTAACTTCAGTATTTACTCATGCAATTTGTTGTTTTGCTTTATAAAGCTCTGATATCCTCATCTGTAGCAGTTGAAGGGGAAGAATGTGTCGTTCCTGTAATCATGCACTTTTGTGTGAATTTTCTATCAAACTATATCTAACAATTTGGGAGCTTCAGGTTGTAATCTGGCTTTTATTTCAGGCTAATTCTCTTTGGTTTTTAGTGATTGAGTTACTACTTTTTGTTAGTTTTATTTCAACTACCATAAGTATATGTAAATATTGAGCTTTGAATTGGAGAAGTTATTCTGATAAGTTGAGGTTTGGAGAAACAATTCAGCTTTTAGCTTGTTGTCTGGTGTTGAAGGAGCATCATAGTGTTTGACAGTATATTAATATGTGAAAGTAAGCATGCATAATATATTGGCATTCTTTTTTTACATTTTTCTTCATATTCTTTAAGTGAAAATGCCTTTCTTTTTTTGCATGTTTGTGGAAAATAATCTATTAATCTTTTTAAAGCGGTTTAAATAAAATATTGTTTGCTGCAATTTTGCATGTTGTGTTTGTAATTGCCTGGTACTCATGATGCTCATCATGGTGAGCATATTGAATGTTTTGAAAATCTCACCTCAGCACTTTTGTTGATTAGCCTAAAAGAGAACTGAAAGAGATCTTCCTAAGCACTTTGAAACAGTGGCCATCCTATGGTGCATGAAGCATGTATTTTAATACTTGCTTTCTCTGAAACTTAAATTATCATGATTATTACAACGCATAAGTTACTTAAAGATAACTTATGTAACTTCTTTGGTATATATTTTCTTTTTACTGATCCTGACTTGTTTTTTTTTTCAACGTCTTTTCAAAACCGTTTATTTCTCTAAGTGCAAAATAATTGCTATTTGTATAATCTGTTGAGAATGTTTGGGATATCTTTTGGTTATGTAGAACGATTTCCTTAATCTATTATAGTTCTTAAACATTTAAACCTATTCCATAGTATCTATTTACTCTCGTGTAATAAATAAACTCAGTTGCTTTTTTTTGACAATTTATTTCATCATTGATCAGTTTAAAGTTTTAATGGTTTGAATGCTTCTTAAAGAGGCTGTTGCATGTTGTATGAAACTTATCCATAGGTTTTCAAGGGGTAGAGGGCTTCACTTTATGCTTTAATTTGCACCCCAATTATTTACGTAGCTTGACATGAAACATCATTTATGATGTTAGTCACGTACCTATATAGACCTAACCTAGACGTGGATCTCAAATCAAGTTTTACCTTTTTTTTAAGCAAATTTTTCAGTAGTGCCACTAGTTTTGCTATCCAATTTAGGCTCTGTATTAATTTTCTTCTTCAAAGAGCTTCACTTGCATTAATTTATAAAGTATTAGATATTCTATTCTTTTCATCTTATTCTTTACAACTTGCAATATATTTCAGTTTCTCGTCTCATTACATTAGTAAATTTTTTGACATTGAATTTAACTATCATTAATTAAAAAAATGAGAGCTTTTTTGGTTGGCTTTGCTTTAAGATTACTGGTTCTCTGTATGAATAAAAAAGTTCAAACTTTTTACTTGTTTGTATAATATTTGTTTGTGCATGCAGCAGATATTTTTTAGGAGTGGTGGCAACGACCCTACTCCTTACTCAAGATGGAATATTACCGGAACATACAAAGGTTTGTAAAGAATTAAAGTTAAGATGCCTTTATTTTTCTCTTTTTTTTCTTTTTTCATTTAATAAGAAGCAAAACTTACCGCATTCAACCTTGTTCAGTTGAGAGAAAATTGGAATGCATAGGATATAAGACAGTTAATAAAGGAGGGAAGCTAGTAGGAAGATTGAAATATATGATATTTTAGGGAGGAATTGTAGAGTAGCAATGTGATTGTGAGAAGTTGATTATGGTATAAACGATATTTTTTTATTAATAATCAAATGGATCGGTTGTTCATTAACAATGGCTAATGTACCTATGGATAAATGTTGATTAATATTATTAGAACATTTGGATGTTGCTTATGTGGCTATGCATGGGCTTGTTGAGTCTTCAAATAACCTGATGTCATTTATGCTCATACATGGTGTTTGTCTCTAGTATAGGAGCGTATTTGAACTCTTTCAATGATCAAACTTGATCATTGAGGTGGATATGGGAGTAAGAATAAAATGTGACTAATGCATTAAAAAGTTTAAGGTAATTAATCATTGAGATAATGTCGAGGCAGTTCTATTGTCATACCCTGTCCACTAGGTTTGGAAGGAAATCACATTAACCTAATAGGAATAGGTGAGAAGAAGATTAATAATTTATTTCCATTAAGTATAAAAGTTTGTTCAATAATATTTGTCCGCCACTAAGACTTTCTGATTATATAAAAACTAATAAACCCTCTAATTTATCCATCAAAAGTAATTTGATTTTCATTGCTATAAGAACTCATCAATAGAATAATTCCATATTTATATCAATAAAATAACTTTTAACCTTATTCACCTTCAAAAGATATGCTAGAAACATGAGCTTAAAGCCCTTTAGCATAATACTTAACTGGTATACTAAAAATGATAAAGTTATGTGTAATTTTGAAAGAAACAAACTTAGTTGGTAAAACCTATTATTAAGTATAAATGGCAAGGCACATGGCGTAAACATGATAAATGAAAGGATCAAAAAATAAAAATGGTTATTATACATTAGCAAATTATAACTTTTGTATAAAAGATAAGATTTTAAATATTATAATCATTTAATGGCACTTATTATGCAAATGAGTTTATAAAAAATTATTTATAATTTGCTGATAATTAAAAAAATTATATATAATTTGGTGATCATTGCACTCAAATGAAAAAAAAAAACATATTTGCATGCATACTGTATTTATGCATTCATCTATGAGTTATTTGTCATTTCTCATTTTTTTATATTTGTAAGTGTATATAGTCAGTTTTAGTACATAACTCTGAACATAAGAATGTATGCATCAATCCATGGAAATCCAATGATTTTTAAAATAGTTATTACTCTGTATACTTGTTGATCTGGCTAGTCAATATTCAATTGGTTCTACCGACAAAATATGCATTATAAACACAAGTATAAATTCTATTGATTATATACTGTAGTAACACCTATTAATTAATATCATATTGTGATCAAAATTGGTTACTTGTCAATTTATGATTGTCAAATAGTTATTACTCTGTATACTTGTTGATCTGGCTAGTCAATATTCAAATGGGTCTACCGACAATACATGCATTATGAACACAAGTATAAATTCTATTGATTATATACTGTAGTAACACCTATTAATTAATATCATATTGTGATCAAAATTGGTTACTTGTCAATATAATTTATGATTTTTAAAGGCAATATTTCTTTCTCAATGTTAAAAAATAATAACCATAACTTAGCAGGGATTTGCCGAACAAATGATATGACAAAACTTGCTATCTTGTCTTATCAATATGTTCGCTCGAAATACTATACATAAGTAAAGCATATCTGACAATAATTGGAGATGACAGATTGGCGCATTTATCTCTTAATCAGAAAAGAGTCGCCTGCCAAATAGAGACCACAAGTCGTCAAACCTTTCCATCTTGTTTATTTTATTTATTTATTTTCTTACTACAACACATGATCCTTCATGGCCCTTCATTCAAAAGAATCAATTATGTATTCAATACAGATAACAATCATTAACAAATCATAACAATCACTTTAGGCATATTCCTTTAATCAATTCTCTCCATTTATACTCCATATTTAAAGTAGGAATACTCTCAAATTATTTTTTCTTTCTACATATAATATTTTTTATCATATATTCTTGAAATCCTTAACACACGATTGAATTTCATTTTAAACAACTAATATAAGCTCATTATGTGTAGGATTCTTTAAAATTCTAGTGGCCAGTCATCCACGTGGACACCTTATTCAAGGGATTTAAATCCCATGGATCAATGTTTTGCCTTAATGGTGAGGTAACTAGGTCTTTTGGCGTTGCCTGGGCAAATTATTCTGCTAGGGCTCTTCATGATTATCACCATCATTAGTCTTTATCTCAATTAGTTAGGATTGGCTTTATAGTGTCGACCGTTTTTTTAAACCTCGTGATTTGAAAAAGTGGTGATTTTGTGATTTTGAAAATAATTTAAATATGAATATAACCTTTTTTTAATTTTTAAAAATAACATTTTAATTTTAAAATAGGTGAGGCCAAACGGGTTTCACGTTTTAAATAGTTTAGATGATTGAATACAATAGTACAGGTAATACACTTATCCCAAAGAATAAATATCACTTGTAATAGAGATTCAATCACCTAAACTAAATAGTTTGTGCATCCGTTTTAGTCTGCGAAATATTTTTATAAAAAAGGCTAATAAGTTCCCCTACCTAACATAAAAATTAGATAGAGATTATTTTATCTGGGTTCCAGGTTTCCCATAGAGGCAAACCCCTAAAGTTAATTACATCTTAAATGACTGGGGATCACTTAAGAAAATTCTCGATTAAGATCAGGTGGTTTTGCTTTCAAGATTTCAAAGTTTAGATTTTCACGATTGGACATGTGAAAATCAAATGAGAATGGCTCAAAATAGGAATAATTATTTAAAGAATCCAAAGGGAAGAAAAGTAGGAGATATCACGAATCCGGGGAAACCCCGGTGAACTCCCAGCTATCCTATTGTTTGACTTTATGTCTTTGAAATGATATAGTTATTTATGATTTAGGACTTATGTTTAATATCAAACTGTGCAAATAGCCTAAAAAAGATAGAAGGATTTACACCATACCGCACGGTAACCTCAGAATCCTAAAGTGTTAGGATTTATAATTGCACAACAGATTTGTGCAAAAAGTCTAAAGGGTGATCCTATGAGTTGTTATTTAAACTAAATGAAGTGATGAGTGATGTGAAAATGTCTATGTGATGTGTTTTGATGTTTTGCTGTTGTAGATCCACCTTGAAGTTGATCCTCGTCATGTTGCCCACGATGTTCGCTCCAAACTCCTCGTAGTAGCACCTCCTAGTTCAGTTTTGGTTTTGAAAATTCACCTAACCACTAGATTTTCCTAAACTAAGACATAGTGTATATCAAAATAACTAAACATGCAGTATAAAAGAAAGGAATAGTATAATGTATAGTAGAAAGAAAAGACAGTATAACATGCTGAAAGAAGAGTGAAATGTACTAAAAAAAGACATAATAACATGCTGGGAAAATAGTATAACAAGTTATGAAAACAATATAACGTGTTGTGAAATAAAATATTGTAATGTAAATTAAACCTGTACACCTGAGAGGTTCATTGCTCCTTTAAGTTTAGCTATTATGCGCTGTGTGAAAGGAGAAACCATGACCTGAAAAGCTTGAGAAAACAGGTAAATTGTAGGAAAAAAACGAGCAAATAAAATAAAATGCAATATCACATATAAAGAACCAAAAATAGGAAATTTATATGTGATATTGGGAATGTCCCCAATTGCCAGAAGGATCTGAGTGTAAGACTCAAGCTCAAATCCCGGAGCATTGAATTTCAATTTTGGTCAAGTTAAGGTAAGAATTTCATTATTTGATCCAATTAAATCAGTCATGAATCACAATCTAGTGCACCCTCGTGCCTGGTGTCTTAGTTATCTCATAAACTGGGGTCAGATGTTTGGCTTCTTAGGTTTATTTGAAAATTAGGATGATAAACTCTCTCTTAAGGTGTGCTCCTAAGTCTCAGGGAGTCTACACTTTACTTTACTTGAAGTGTCTTAAAGTGTTTCAACTAAGTGTCTTTCAACTAACCCTCAAACATCTTTAGATTAAACTTAGCTCACCATCAGACTCCTAAAACCTAAGGGGTTAACCTATAGCTTTGCCAAAAGGGTTGTGAAGTGTGCTTCAAACCTAGTTAGGGTAGTTGGATTTAAGTTGATTCAATGCTTAAGGGACCTAAATGCAAGTCTAATGATCTTTCAATCCATGTCCTTAATCGTCATCTAAGCTCTCATTTTCTTCAAACCCCTAATTATTCTTCCAATTTACAATTTTATCTTTCATATGCAAAAAAGAACGGTAGATGGTCTGCTATTCTATCCCCCTTTAGGTTTTATCACATCGAAGATCTAAATCTTATTTATAGTTTTCTATAACTTTTTCTTTCTCTCATATTTCTCTTAAGACTGTGAATCATTTCTGAATATAATTAAATCGGAAATTCTCATTTTTAACTTGACTGTTAAAAAAAAAAGAAAACAAAACGAACGAAAAGAAGACCGATCTATTTTTAAAATATAAAAGAAAGTCAAACCAATTAAGCTTAAAATGAAATCATGAATATATCGGTCTAAAAGAATGTTTAAATTCGTAAAAAGGTAAAAAGGTGATCTCCAAAAATCAACACTTAAAATATTCAAATTGATATATGAAATTTTAATGAATTAAATCAAGCTTTAATGAATAAAGCTTCAAAAATGCAATTTGAACTTCATTAAATCAAGCCTCAAGGTCCTTGAATCATTCTTAGAGAGATATCATTTTCTCACTTTTCATCAACGCATGACAATTTCATGAATTTCTAAACCCCTTTATATATTTAATTTACATCAACCATATATTTTCTCCAAATGAAATTGTACAAGTCCTTTTACATTTCATAAAAGAAGAGACACTAATTAATGGAAGAAATAATTCCCTAGATCTCTAGAAAAAACATACTAATGTCAAAAATAATTTAATCTCATCCTTCATCAAAAGTTTATAATAAGATATACTTCCAACATGGTGAAAGCAGAGAAATATTTTTAGCCTTTATCTAGCTCCAAAGAGCCAAAGGAGCCTCAACAAGTGGTAAAACACGTATTAATAATAGGGAATGAACATATAGGCTCAAATCAACATCCCACCTATCATGCATTTCAGATTTTCGCAAATAGGCCAACCAATGTTCTCAGATTTTTGCAAAGATAACACCCATATTTTTCAGGTTTTGCAAATAAGCCCCACAAATATTTCAGATTTTTGCAAATATAACACAAATGTTTCAGGTTTTGCAAATAAGCTCCACAAATATTTCAGATTTTTGCAAATGAGCCACCTAAAGTTTCAGAATTTCACAAATGAGCCACCCGAAAATTTCAGAAATGAAGCAAAAAAGAAAGAAAAAAAAAGGTGACGATTCTTTCCAAAATATTCAAAATATAAATCCAATGAAAGCGATGTGATTGTTTATAAAGTATCCAAATCATAAAACAAAGCTAACTGTAGTTCTATGAAATGAAACAAATAAAATAGAAAAAAAATTGCATGCAATTCTTTCCACACATTCAGCTCCAAAGTTCAAATTCAGCAAACTTAAAGAAAACATCCTAAAATTTTGAGGCCTACCAAAAATCTGCTCACATCTGCTAATATACTGCTTTTCTTTTAAACAAAACCATGAATAAGAAACCAAAAGCAGATGGTCTAGCACTTCTATTTGGATTCAAGAAGAACCCAAACTCTCATATTCATGCACATTGCACTTTGCACATCCCACAAAAGAGGCCAGGGGAATCTATGTTTTCAAGGGCTGCTTCATGGCAAGATTTAAGCAGGGTATATATGCATATATATATACACATATATATGTATATCAATTAAGTTAAGCTCTTCCAAGCTGCAAAGAAAAGTAAAGGCGGCGAATGAAATGAAGGAAAGCAGGAGAAATGAGGGTAACAAGAAAAGGAAGAAGACACCTGTTTTTTTTTTGTTTCAAAGAAACAGTAAAAACCAAACACCAGATAGGCTAAAGGAAGAGCCAACCAAGGAGATAGAAACACCCGAAAAGAACCGCCCGAAATATTGGTAGCACCTCCCCCTATCAAAGCTTCAACCGAAAATCTTAGTGGCCAAACAAGCAACCAAGCAAAGGTAACGAGTGAACCAGCAAGGAAACCGAACAAGCCACAAAAATCTAGCAGCACTTCCTCTTTGCAGAAATTCGGCCACCACTCCTCCTTCAAGCTTTACCCAAGAGAAGGCAAAACCTTCCCAATGCCTCAAATACACACACACAGAATGAAGAAACGAGACACAAAAATGGCAGCATCTCCCCCTTCCTTTCAACTTTCGGCCAACCCTAAGGAACTCCCCAAATGGGATTTTTTTAGCAAAAGAGGGAGGAAGAAGAATATCATCCCTCACCTGGGTGGTGAGCCGAGCCAAGAGAAGCGACAAACCTCGCGTGAGGAGAGGACGACAGAGACAAAACTTTGTCGCAGAGGGGCAGCTCGCGTGGCACGGCGTGAAAGATTTTGCCAGAGACCGGAGCACGGCGAGTGTGACGAGTTTACAACGGGGGGACCTCGAGCCAGCGCATCACGCGAGGAGAACCAGGCTCGGCTAGGGCATGCGACCGAGAGAGGGAGAGGCGGACGATTTCGCGAATGGGAGAGGGAGGCATACGTGAGTTAGGGATTTAGGAATTAGACATTTAAGGTATTTTAAAAAATAATAATAATAAAATAAGGATTATATATG